CTAAGTATTCAACAAAGATCACTTGACTCCACCAAGCCTCTTCCAACTCTGCCCGGTCCCTGTTAATTAAGTCCTCGAAGTTGGAGTCAATGTTCCCANTATTTGTATAAAGAATACATATGTTTAATAAAGGAAAATTTTGGGCCCAACTTTTTATGTTATTTTACATGTACTTTTACTATGCATATTTTTATGAGAATAAAGTCGTTACAGTCCTCCAACCCAGTGTTTCATGCTAGAACAAAGCACATCGAAATTGATGTGCATTATGTGAGGGAGCTGGCTGCTGAAAAAAGACTGTCAGCCTTCAGAATATCAAGTTGCTAATGTTCTGACCAAGGCGCTTGCAGCACATAGGTTCCACACTCTTAAAGAGAAACTAACTGTATTGCCTTTCTTACCTGAAGAAGAGTTACAGAGCTGATGGATTGGTTAAGACTGCTGTATAACTACTATTATGTGATGCTTTTCTAGCTTTGTGTGGAGATTTATTTTTCTGGGTTTCTTAAAGCTGTTGTGTAACTGGTGAACTCTGGGAAAGCTGGTGTATTTTTTAAACTATTATTTCATCCTCTGTTGAAGCTGCCTTATAGCTGGTGTGATCTGATGTTGTTGAGCTATTATGTGGTGCCCTGCTGTGTAACTAGTGGATTGGTTAAGAGCTAAGTTTGTTGCTATACTGATATATTTGAATTGTTGTAGCTATTATGTGATGCTTTTCTAGCTTTGTGTAGAGATTTCTTTCTCTGGGTTTCTTAAAGCTGCTGTGTAACTAGTGAACTTTGGGAAAACTGGTGTGTTTTTAAACTATTGTTTCATCCTCTGTTGAAGTTTCCTTATAGCTGGTGTGCTCTGATGTTGTTGATATTGTGTGGTATTTTTTTTTTTCTTGGAAGCTGCAGTATGTTAAAACTGGCTACTGTGAAGATTCTAAGTGTGGTTTGAGCTTTGGTGTGCATATTCGGAGAGCTAGAGTGTAAAAGTGTAGTGGAGTTTTGTTGAATAGTCTAGGAGCTGGAGTGTAAAAACAGATTGGAGTTTTGGTATGAGTAGTGAAGTTTTGCTTAAAGGGAGATAGGGAGATATTGAGAAGAATGTGTAATGTGGATTGTTATTGGATGTTTTGGTAAGTGTAGTGGATTTTTGTTGAATATTCTGGGAGCTGGAGTGTAAAAACAGATTGGAGTTTTGGTATGTGTAGTGAAGTTTTGTTTAAGGGGAGATATTGAGAAGAATGTGTAATGTGGATTGTTATTGGATGTTTTGGTAAGTGTAGTGGAGTTTTGTTTAAGGGGAGATGTTGAGAAGAATTTGTATAAAGGGATCTGTTTGTATTCTTTACAAGTTTGCAATTTAGTCAAAATTAGGGTGTATTTTGTAATCTTTACAAACAGCTAATACGCTGCGTTTTTGTATTAAGGGTAGTATAAATTAGCCTGCCTTGTTTCTGTTTTGTCAGTTAGTAAAAATAAAGATTCCAGAAACAGTTTTTCACTTTACTCTTTAGCTCGTTCTTGCATTGTTCTTTCTTGTTCTTCGTTTCTTCAATAAGTCTAAAATTCTTCAGAAGGTTTCACAAGGGTTTGACTGTAAACTGAGAGCTCAGTATGGATTGAAGTTGGTGAGTTGTTGACACCATTGCCCAAGGGGGGTTTGAATGATTTTCAAGGACAAGGATATTATCATAGGAGTCGGACTCTACCGAGTATTGGACAAAAATACGAGTAGGGCAATGAGAGTAGACTCATGTTGTCCCTTTAAAGGCGCACATAATAGCAAATTCATCGCAGATTGAACAAGGTAAAGCTCACTGCCCTGTCCATGAAAAGCCTTCAGTATTATCGTGAAACAGAGTATATTCTATGAAAATTTAGGTAACTAATTATACTATTTAATTACAAGAATCTTTTCCTTGATTCTTCGTGTTGGCTAGAATACATTATAAGTAGAGAACATTATGAATGACATACAGCAAATCTAGGGAGGAAACAATCTTACCTTGTAGTGGAGAAAAATAATATGATAATAGACCAAACTTGGAAAAGAGAAGAACAACTCAGTAGCAGCATCATCCCTTCCGGATAAATCCGTGAGACAATCCAATTTGCCAAAGGAATCGATCATGGCGAGTAGGTGTTTTGGTAAAGTTTAATCTGACGCTTCGTTATCAGGGATCTTTCATAGAAAACGAAAGAGTAAATTTTTTTACAAAGTTTTTTAAGCCGCTAGGGTTTTATAAAGTTACCCTGAAACCCCTTTGTTTCAAATGTTAAAAATATTGCATTTTTTTTCCTTATCTTTTAACAATCAAATTATAATTATATAAAACAATTTTAATATTTAATATTCTTTATTATATTTAATTAATGAAAAGCACATTAAAATCTTTTTTTTTTTTTTCCTTTTTTACATTATTTTTTAAAATTTAAGTATTAATATATTAACTTTGTATTGCATATATTGGCATATTTTTAGATTACAAAGATAAATTGATTAAAATTATATTTTTTTTCCCAAAATTTTAAAATAAAATATGAGGATCTTACTGATAATTAAACCATAAAATCAAGGCAACTCCTTAAACACACAAATAACAATTTAACTTTCAAGAAGTTTTTGTGTTGATAATTAATCAGTCCCCTCACTTTTAGTGCAATTACATGAACACCTCATTAATTGAGAATTATAGCTTACCTCTCTATGAGGGGTAGGGGTATTAGCCAAGCTGAATTGCTCGTGAGTGGTTAGGGCTTGGCTCGAGCTTGAGCGGCTCGACTCAACTAATGAGCCAAGTTCTAACGCCCGGATACTCAACTCGTTAAGCTCATGAGCCGAGCCGAGCTCGACATATATATATATACACACACACAAGGGGAGATGAGTGATACTTCTCAAATAACAAATGGTTTTTTCAGCTCAAAATGTTGCCTATATGGAAAAAAGTACTCAAATTCAATGAATCAACTATGCAGAATTGTTTTTCATTGCTCATGATATATCTTGAGAGCCCGAAGCAAAATTTGGTTAAAAAAATGTACCAAAAGAGATGTTAGATTTGTTCAAGCTTCTTCAATAGGATGTTGAACTCTTCATATTGACGCCAAAAAGCTCATCAAGTAACTAACCCTTAATGATCTATGTAATCGAAGTATTGATAAAGAGAACACACAAGTTTAACTTGAAGTATTGAAACTACAGCAAACTTAAGAACCATCCACGAGGCACGACATAATCGTTCAGATATAAGAAAATTCTCATGCAATTATTATCATAATTAAAAATCACACATAAAGGGCACAGACTTGAATGGTGACTATTTTCAGTTTGAAGATGGTAGTGTTTAGCAAATGAAGAAGATGGGAACAAGATAAAGCAAATGAAACCTGTTTTACATACATCAAGAATGAGAAAGGGAAATTCTAGAAATCGGCTTTCTAGATTTAGGACAAAATTTCAAATTTATTTTGAAGGACTTGTGTCTTCTAATTTATTATTAAATTTATTTAAAAGAAGAAGAAGAAGCACCCTGTGATAATGAATTTGGTTGAGAGAAGAGATTATGGAATTCAGAACTATTCCTTTATATATGATATGAAACTACATAACTGTTGAACTTGAGGATACTTTTACCATCCAGCACAACATAAATGGACTATAACCAATAAGATTGTTTTTGCACAAATGGCTATAGCTTTGAATTGTAAAGAAAAATGAGCATCATGAAGGTAATTCTGTAGTGACTAGGGACAATAAGGAATAGAGCAAACTAAATCTAAACTTACATACGAGCAAAGATGAATAAAATTCTTATAAGCAGTTATACATGGAAAGGACTATTCAAGTTTAGTCACAAAAGGTCTGTATATTCTGTTGTACAATCAACAATTCCGACGCTAACAATATCATGTAGCATTTATTATGGATACAACACAACAAATGATAACTAAAACTTAACCGATGGCTTACATTCAGGGAAGTGCCAACGTGGTAGAGGGCAAAAAATCACAGATAAAAGCCACTCAGTAGTTAAAAGTCACAGCATACTTCTCCGCACAACCACTTGTCTTCAATTAATACCATGATCTCAAATCAAGCATCATCAGTGGAGACAACCACAATATGAGAACAATTACTCACCAATCCCTTTGTTATCATTATGACTTTTAATTATTCAACTCCTTATCCCAGAGGTTGTCTCTTCAACTTTATAAGTATTGAAGATTTCACGAAAGGTTTGACCATCTGGATTGAAGAATATTAAAGATTTCAAGAAGGGTTTTATCGTTTGGATTGAAGTTGGTGAGTTCTTCACACCATTGCCAAAGGTGGGTGGAAGGAGATAGTTGGAGCCAATTAACTGCCTCCGAACGGAGTTTATCCTCGGCTTTCAAAGATAAAACTGGATTGTAGTGAAACAGTAGGTTCTGGTCTTACAGCAATGGTGGGAGAGGTTTTTCTAGAAAGAAAAGGATGCTAACCAAAATAGAGATGTTAATCATGCGAGTCTGACTCTACTAGTGTTGAGAAAACTGTTTATTCACAAGACGGCTTGAAACTGTTTATTGGACGGCCTTCCTAAAATCCCTAATATCAAACAAGATGGGACTTTTCCGCAAACTCATGGGGAAAAAAGATATTATAATAGACCCAACTTGGAAAAGACAAGAGCAACTCAGTAGGAAAAACATATCTTTGCAATGCATATAATTTACAAAAGGTTCAAACAGGGCGAGTTAGTATACTTATATTCCATACTGTGGGGAATAAATCTCATCAACGACCGATCTTTCAAAGTTAGCTACAATCACAAGTGTTGTCAATGTAGTATGCTGTTTTCATGCAATTACATTCCACACCAGCGTAATAGTATTTGAGTGAAAGAGACAGATATTTACTTATATAAATCTGAAGCAGAGGAGATTCTTATAACGGTGGAAGTCAGAAATCAGTCTGAGCGCGATTTGGATTGAACAGCCTATAATTGTATCGTCGGCTATCAATTATGAATAATCAGAAGAAGAAGAAGACGACTCTTCTCGGTGCTTAGTAGAATTGTGTTTGGCTTTGGCTCTAACCTTTTTAGGGTCTGCCTCAATGGCACTGATTTTTTTTAAAGTTTCCAGGACTTGATCCATGGAAAGGCAACTTTTGGGGTCAGATTCCAGACATTTTACTATAAGCTCACCAACTTGGGACGCCGCTTTTGCAGGGTACTGCCCCTCTAGCCTTGGGTCCATTATCTTCTTCAGCTTTCTTTTGTCCGAAAGAGATGGATTTGCGTACTCCACCAAGTTGTGCACGCCGAAGGGACGATTGGTGGCAAGAGCCCGTAATCCTGTCAACATTTCCAGCAAGATGCTCAAGAACTTATACACATCACTTCTAACATATAGATTTCCTGCACCCACATGATTGTTATTCATTTTGCGATTCTTCAACTTGATTGGACTTATCTAAAAAAAAGTATTCTTTGGACCGTAATTTTTTTAAAAAAAAAAAAAATCCGTATAAAGCTCTACATTATGAACAATTATTTAAATCTGCATAATAAATTATATACAGCAAATCTAGAGAGGAAACAAGCTTGCCTTGTAATAGGCCCAGGTTGGAAAGGATAAGAGCAACTCAGTAGTAGTATCATGTCTTTCGGATGCGTCTTCATCCGTGGGACAATCCAGTTTACCAAAGGGTTCGATCATGGCGAGTTGGTGCATTGGTAAAGTTTAGTCTGATGCTATAAGGATTTTATAGAAAACGAAAGAGTAAAGTTTGGTAGAATTTTTTTACACCACTATATTTTTCTTATATTATTTAAAACCCCTTTGTTTCAAATATTAAAAAAAAAAAAATCCATTTTTTAAATTATATAAAACAATTTTTAATACTAAAATATTAAAATACGTCTCAAAATTTTGCATTATTCCTTGATATTTTAAAATTAATCAAAATAAGATTTAATAGAGTTATTTCTTGAGTATATACTCAAGTATGGGTCCTAAGAAACTGACCTTGGTTCGAATCTAAGTGCGCTTCAGTTTACGTGGAGGGTTTTTGCCAAGCTTACTTTCAACTTAATAATAATTTAGATTTTACTCAATTAAATTTTGAAAAGTAGCATTTTTGCAATTTCTGGAAAATTCAGATTTAATATTATATCTTAGATGTAGTTATTATTTTTAGTTTGTCTTATTTAGTAATTTTTAGAGGATAAAATTAGAATTGAAAAAAAATTATAAAGATAAAAAGTGGGAGACTAATTACTCTTTATGAAATGAAGAAAAATCTAGAAATGATGGGTCACTTTCTAATTTAATCTTAGATCTTAACACCAACGGCGACATTGACATTGAGAGAGAAAGCTAGGATAGTGAATGGGATTAGATACCCCAGTAGTCCTAGCCGTAAACGATGGATACTAGGCGCTGTGCGTATCGACCCGTGCAGTGCTGTAGCTAACGCGTTAAGTATCCCGCCTGGGGAGTACGTTCGTAATGAACTATGGCTCGGAGAAGAGAGAGCTCATGGCGTTTGAAACTAATCCCTAAAATATATAATTTGAAACAACACTAAACAGAGAAATTGCAAAAAGCATACATACTAACAGTCCAATACAATATAATTGAACCATATCCAAGAAGATTCTAAAGCAAAAATGGCTAAAGAGCGAAGTAAATCACTAAATCTATACCAACTTTTTTTTTTTTTTTTAATTCTTTGAAATGAAAGTTCAAACTTACAAACAAAAGATATATGTATGTTCTTTTATGCAGTCAAACATTCTTTATCTTACAAATCTTGTTAAAGAGTCCTTAAAACAATGGTTTAAACCAGTTCCAGAATAAAGACAAGAGACTAGTCCTGCAATTCTTTAGTAATTGAAGCCTTTAGGATGCCAGCATACAACTGATTGGAGTCCTAAGAGATTCTTTGTTCCTTTCCATTCAAAGCACAGATCGGAACCTAATTGTTCTAGCAGTCTAAAAGCCGCTCTCAAATGCTTGTATGCGGTATTGTTTCCGATGCTCCAAATCCCAACTTGACAACCATGTCGAAGAGTAAATGAAACAAAATGGGCGTAGAATATGAATGAGAAATCTAGCTTTATCACTTCATCGTCTTTGCACATCACATAAATTCGCTCTTTCATTAGCAGGTTTTCTTTGGACAAACCTTCCATAGAATACCTAGATGTTGATTGTGTGGAAGTGTTCTCTAATCTCATTTTATTAATTTTATCCTATGCAAAAAGAAAGTCAACTTCTTCTACTTCCCTTCTTTTTAGTAGCATATACAACAAAAAAGTTGGCTTTTATTGTACACCTACAGTGATGAAATAACAAATCTCATTTTTAGAATGCTTTCAACAATTAAGCAGAATTTAATTTCAGAGCATAGATAAAACTAGGCACAAGTGGTTGGCATTTGGTTTCCGCTCTGGATTGCTTCAACGTTTAAACAAGAAGATGTTGCCAGTCCTCCATCAACGCCATTGTAAATCAAATTAATATCACTAATATCCACATTTTGGCATGGGTTTGCTTGACCACACACAAGATTAACTACTGTATGAATTTATGACTAGGCGAGGTTGACCAAGACTAGTAAAGCAGAGTTTTTGGTTATTAAGAAACTTCAAGTTTGTGAATTGAGGGGCATTGGGTTTGGTCGTTGAAGATGTTGAAGGTGAGGAATGGCAGAGTATAAATTTTGGATTATAAGGTTAAATATGATATTAATTATAGATTTAAGGGACTACTTAGTATTCTGTCAGGAGAAAATTGAAATGATATAAGCATATGAGGGACTTTTACAACATTATCCAACCATGCAAATTTATATGAAGAAAATGCAGGGTGGTGAATCATAGCAGCGGCTACAGACTTAGGCCGCGTCTCCTTCCTTGGTGGCTAACAGCGATATGACTCCTGTCAAGTCTGCTCTAGTATCTGGCTGTGTGGCTTCAGTTTAAAGTTAATTCAAACGAGCCGTATCAATCACGCATGTCCTCTCCCTTCCGTTCTCCGTCGACGGTCCCGCCTGCTCAACCGCCGGCAGTCTAGGTCATTTTTGTCGTCTCAAATAGTTAATCATTAAAATTAATAGAACATTTGTGTTAGTATTTGCTAATTTTTTTAATTTCACAGATGAGATTGCCAGGTTGTTACCGAATCTGTTCGGCAACTATCGGCGAAATTGGTATCAAATGATGTCGATACGCTTCAAGCGGATCAGAAGTTGAAAATCGTCATTTTTGACTGGGCTCTAGGCGGCAGGTGGATACAATGTGATCTCAGGACTTTGGGGTGAGGATCTATATGAAGCTGTAGTTTTAAAACGTGGTTCGCTTGAAAAGCTGTTTGAAAATGTGATTTTTTTGTTTCATTGGTAATGCTTTGTATGGGTTTAGGAGAGGCAATTATGAAGTGCAAATACATTGAATTACTCCTGAATATTTTTATCTCTACAGAGACGAGGTATGTTTGTTTCTTTTGGGTGAAATTTATGGTTTTCAAAGTATTCAGATTTTAAGGCATTGAGTAATGATTGTTAGATTAATTATATTTTATGAGATTAATTAAGTTGTTAAAAGTGTATTATCCAACAAGTTTAAATTGTATTTCAATTTGTGCTACTATAATTTGAAAGTGTATTGATATGGAAATAAAATGTTTATATACACTGTTAAAGCTGTTGTTTTTGTTGGATTATCAGCAAGTTACGAGCCAACAAGAGGAGAGGTGTTCGGCAGGGACTCAATGTATGTTCAAAGCCCGTCTTTCTCATGTAGTCTTTTTCCTTTTTAAAGCCTTCTTTTTTTGGTTGTTTTTCATTTTGGTCACTGCCACTTTGTAGTGCATAAAGCTAGAAATTTGTTGTTTTACCATTGTGATCGAAATGGCATAACAAATTTTACTAAAGATGAGTTTGTGGTTACATTTTGCGCTCTTCGGACACCTGATTTAAGAGCTTGTTAGTTCACTTTATGCAGTTATTGGCTATAAAACTTAGTTTCCAAACTCTTTAAGTACCTCTTCATAAAAGCTTTTGTTGTTTGTAGAATTTAATGCCTGATCGAAGGTTGTTGGTCTTGTGCATTTGCAGCATTTGAACCATAAAATCAGTTCTCATTTTCAAAGCTCTTGTTATTCTGGTTCTGTTTATTGTGTTGTTTACATTTTTGCTTATACTTGAACGAAATAGAGAAGCAACAGGAACAAAATAATAATAGTTAAACAAAACAAACAGCAAACAAAGAATGTAATACGTGCGATTTATCCTGGTTCACCCAATGTAGGCTACGTCCAGCTAAGTCAATATTATTGTAATATACCTCACCTCTCTTGTTTACAATGAATGAATTGTTTTTACTCACATAACAAGAGAAAAGTATGTTTATATACTAGGTTTAAGAGATTAAACCTAGTTTTACAAGAATTCCTATTCCTAAGCCCAACCCAAAAAGGAATTAATAACTTAAAAGGAATCCTACAGCGGGACCCCCGAGTGCGTCTCCGTTACCCATTAATGCTGAAGTAGTCGACAACTCCAACAATACTTATTTGAATTAATTTTTTATCCATAGGGAATAAGACTTTCTTAGATAATCCGTAATGTTCAACCTGCAACTAAAATCTTGTTACCTCAAATTATCCATATTCCCACTTTTTGTCTTTTTTATTTTCTTGGAAGTGGTTCAAGTATTAGTAGTTTAGGACTTTGTTAGCTTCAGACTGGGAACAAAGAGATTTTTGGCTTTACATGTTCTCTAAATTCAATGTTCTTTAATGTTGCCATCTTTTAAATTTTTAGTAGATTTGTTAATTAATTCATATATTTGAAAAGTATTTGTGCTATATAGTTCTCTATGAGGGTCCTTACTATTTGTGTGCTCAGGAATTTCACTTAAAACTCAAAAACTGTATGTGATAATCTTTGTCATTCGTTACCTTGACCTGTTCACATGGTACATCTCATTCTACAACTCTGTAATGAAGCTAGTCCTTCTTGGAACTTCAATTGCTATTGTTTGGTATATGCGGTACCATAAAGTTGTGAAGCAAACATATAACAAGGATGAAGAAACCTTTAGACATTATTTCCCGATTCTCCCATGTTTTGTTTTGGCCTTGTTGATTCCCCATGAGTATAATACTATTGAGTTATGAAACTTTCTTGTCTTCTTCTTCTTTTGTTTCCCATTCAATGTATTTTTGGCTAAAGAAAATGACCTATTTAAACTGTGCCAAAGTGAAAGCAATTCTTATTGACAAATGCTACAACTTATGGTTCAAAATGAATCCATGGTTAGGCATGATAAAGCACATGCAATTTTCTGTAGTTTATGCCAGTCGTAATTCACTAGTCTGAATCATATATGCTTGAACTTTCACATTTTATGCCATATTAGAAATTTTATACTGGA